CACCAAAACTTTAAATAAATGTTCAGTGAATCCTAATTCTGAGTCTCCTGACATTTTCCTGGATAGCGTTAACAAATCGCATCTGCGGTTAAATGACCTAGTTCATTTAACTGCCGGTTAAATCCCTGTCGCGTTTTCCAACCATGCTACCAGGAACACAGACAGTTTCCAGCATTAAAAACCGTAAAACAAAGATTTTACAAGGTAAATCAAATGTCAAAGTTCATCCATTTTGAGCGTTTCAGGTGCAAAGCGTGCATAAAGTGACAGTGAGACACACAGGTGTTGAAGACGGTTCTTTAACATGGTCATATGAAAGCAATAACTGGTCACATTTTGGTAAATTATTAACTAAACACCTACTGCAGCAACAACCGAGAGGTTATTTACAAAATATACAATATTTATCACAAACCTAATAAAACATGCCCACTAAAATGATAAGCTCAACAATTCCTGACAAATACAGCAGAACTAAATCTGTAGAAACGTAGTTTATCTTAAGATAGCTACATCTAGGCTCATACAGTATGCAATGATTGATTCTTTTAAAAAATATAGTAGCACAAATGTTTTCTTAAAGCTAAAGTATAGTTTCAAGACTATAGTATGCAATCTGACAACAGAAAAAAAAGAAAACTTACAGCATAATCATTTCAGATAATATCTAAAAAGTTACCTGAATACAATCCTCTATAATTGCTTAAAATCCCATAATAATTTAGTAACTGTCATGTCATATAGGACTTAAATGGTCATAACGAGAGGATATAAATATAACCGTCTAAGTCGTGGTACATTCTGGTGAAACTGCCGTCGGTGGCCCTGCTGAGCATTAGGGGATCTTGAATCTTCATTAACACACTGACTTTATAAAGCATTTGGAGCTGATATGAAAACATTTAACCAACAGTTAATAGACGTTAACAAATACAGACAATAATGTCTAATGGAAAAACATCCATGTTATAATACAAACTCTAACTTTATGTTATGACCATTTAAATCCAGAAATATATGATAATATATTTACATTTTCTTTATTATAAAAAAAAATCACACATAAATAGAACAAAAATAATATATACACTTCCTATTGTACTTTAAACACACAAACTATAGAAAAAGTACATAATAACAATACAGCATGAAGAAATACAGTTGGGTTTGACATTGGCACTTAAAAACTACTGATTTTTTGCTACATTTTGCTAACAAATTTACTAGGCATTTGTTATCTTATTGTAGTTTACTGCATACATATGCTGCATGATTTGATGCTTCAACTAGACCTAAAACTGTTTGATCATCATGTTTATTTTAAAGTGCCCCTATTATGCCACTTTTACAGTTCCTAATATTGTTTTGGGAGTCTCCTACAATAGGATAGGGTGCAAAAAAATCTAAATATTGAGAAAATTGCCTTTAAAGTGCCCCTATTATGCCATTTTTACGGTTCCTAATATTGTTTTGGGAGTCTCCTACAAAAGGATTACATGCATGCAAGGTCAAAAAACGCTTTCGTTTTCTCAAAATATGCATTTAATACCACCTCATTTTCCAGCAATTCTCAAACGATTCTTTCGAAGCAGTTCAAAGATTCAGTCTCTCTAAACCCCTCCTTTCCGTGAGCCTGCTCTGCTTTGATTGGTCAGATGGCCTAGTCTGTTGTGATTGGTCTACCGCGTGCAGCGCATTTCGGAAACAATATGCCTATTTCAATAGTTCTGTATTTTGAATGCTCTATAGAAAAAATCCATCCATCCATCTTTCAACAGCAAGCGTTTTGTGAATCCCACGTTGAACTAACTATAGAAAAAGTACATAATAACAATACAGCATGAAGAAATACAGTTGGGTTTGACATTGGCACTTAAAAACTACTGATTTTTTGCTACATTTTGCTAACAAATTTACTAGGCATTTGTTATCTTATTGTAGTTTACTGCATACATATGCTGCATGATTTGATGCTTCAACTAGACCTAAAACTGTTTGATCATCATGTTTATTTTAAAGTGCCCCTATTATGCCACTTTTACAGTTCCTAATATTGTTTTGGGAGTCTCCTACAATAGGATTACATGCATGCAAGGTCAAAAAACGCTTTTGTAGATTCCTGTTGGTAAATAAATTGGATAAATTTGATCAAATTTGGTCTCCTCTTCTCCTATATCTTGAAAATGCAGGCTGAGTAATCATGCGGTGTTGACCGCACCATTAGTGTGGTATGATTTAAGTCCCTAGGGTGGGGAGGGAGGTAAGGGGTTGTTTTGTTTTGTACCATAAATGTTTGTTGTGCTTGTACGTTCAGTTTTTTATGTGTTATTTAGGTTTGTATGTATATATATATATATATATATATATATATAACTGAAATCATGGTATGTAACAATAACTATTGGATTGTTTCATTGAATACCTTAATAAAAAGATTTAAACACAGAAAACGCTTTCGTTTTCTCAAAATATGCATTTAATACCACCTCATTTTCCAGCAATTCTCAAACGATTCTTTCGAAGCAGTTCAAAGATTCAGTCTCTCTAAACCCCTCCTTTCCGTGAGCCTGCTCTGCTTTGATTGGTCAGATGGCCTAGTCTGTTGTGATTGGTCTACCGCGTGCAGCGCATTTCGGAAACAATATGCCTATTTCAATAGTTCTGTATTTTGAATGCTCTATAGAAAAAATCCATCCATCCATCTTTCAACAGCAAGCGTTTTGTGAATCCCACGTTGAACTCCCCGAGATTAGAGAAGCAGTCGTCAGTAGACGTGTTTGTGGGCAGGGGTCAAGCTGTTCGCGGCCGGCCAACGTAGAACATAGGCATGCATTATGCAAATGTGTTACTCCGTGACGTGTAGCCATCACGGAAGTGGGATTCGAATTACTAACGACTCGTTTCAGCTGTTCAGTCGATTCTTTATTTTGGGAGACAATAACTTTATTTATCGTGCACTTTCAGCTTTACAAGCAGATCGTTTACATTCACAATCATACAGCTACATTACACACTGCATGAAAGGCAATATTGGAAATGGCATAATAGGGTCACTTTAATATAGACTTTTAAAATGCAGTTTATAAAAGTTGTGATTGTATAAAATACCTTAAACACATTAAATAGTCACTGATAGAGTTGCTGCACATTGTTTGAATTCCAAAATCTTCATTTTTTTGCTACAGTGGTTGTTGTCTGCAAGTCCTTTAGATGATTTGATCTATTACAAAAAGCATGAAGAGCTCAGAATATACAGCATTACAATGACTGGTGTTGGTTTTATGTCAACTACTGCTCCCATACTAAAGCAAGTGATAGTGACACAAATCAAAGGGCACCTACACGTTTGGGTCCTGCTTTTACTCACTCTCTCACTGACATTAAGGTCCAAAATTAACTTTTTTTGCCACACAAAAATTACAGGACATTAAACTGTATTTTGCTTTATTGTTCATTTCAGGGTTATTATTGTTAACTAAAACTGAAAACATAAAGATACATTAAATAAAAATAAATAAATAAACAAACATTAGCCAAATGTAATGAACTATTAAAAACAACAACTTAAACTTATTTTATTTCAGCTGGTTGCCAAGACAACATCTAATTTAATTTAATTTAAAGTACTAAATTAACTAAAATTAAAATAACCAATAAAAGTTCGATAGACAATTAACGGGAAAAAAAGAAAGAAAAAAAAACTAATAAAAATGAAAAAAAAAAAAAACAGCTGAAACTGTAACTAAAATTAAAATTAATTAAAAATATTAATTAGAAACTATAATAGTATATCAGTTAACGTTTTCATTAACTGCCAATTGCAGGTGAATTTACTACAAAAAAATTCCAGCCATTAAAGGGGTCCTATTATGCTCTTTTACAAAGTCTTGATTTTGTTTTGGGGGTGTACTAGAACAGGCTCTCATACTAGGTTGTTCGAAAAACATTTTTCATACATTTTACATTATTACAACACCTCTCTCCCCAGTCTGGCATGAACGGCTCAAATAGTTCCCGTATCAAATGAAGTCCCGCCTTCTGAAATACGAAATGTGCTGTGATTGGTTAGCTGGGCCAGTGTGTGCTGTGATTGGCAGCACTCGGCGCCTGGTCGGGAAATGTCATGCCCGTTACCATAGCGAGCTTCAGTGTAAATATTGCGTCAATATCAAATCAATGTGAGCGCGATTTAAACCCGTCGTTGTTTTTTTGGTTTGACGCGCCGCGTTAAAAACTGGCCGACCAATGAGATTAGCGCTTTTGTTCACGTGTCTGGAGCTGCTGAAGTTACAGTAAAACACGACTTGGTGGCGCTCAAGCACAAAACGGTCTTGCCAAGCACACATTGATACCTAACGACAAAGAGGAAGTAAGTAGACCAAGAAGATGCATCGAGGCAAGATGAATGTAGAGCTGCTGGTCTCATTGGTGTCTGAACACAAAGGGCTTTATGACAAACCCGACAGCGACTACAAAAATCTCGATAAGAGAGAGTTGGTATGGAAAGGAATTGCAGATCAAATAGGATTCGATGTGTACCGGGGTATTTCTGTTTTTCATTAAGCGCCATCTAATGTCAGGGAGTGAATTTGCACGTTCACTCGGCTCATCACCAGTGAAAATCGCTTGGGTATGAACACAAAAGACGCGTCGAAAAACGTCGGCGATAAGCACGCGCGATAATCGTCCCGGTGTGTACAAGGCTTAAAGTTGAAAAAGCATAATAGGACCCCTTTAAACAGTGTTTTGTTTTATTGTTCATTTCTGGGTTATTATTGTTAACTAAAAGTAAAACCATAAAAAAAAAACTTTAAATAACCGAAATAGAAATGAATATACTGTAATCTATACAGGGTATATTTAAAAAAAAAAGCGAATAAAAATGATAAAAACACAACTAAATTACTAAAACTTGAACTAAAATTAAAATGACAACACAATATAAAAACGAATTATTTTTAAATAAAAAGTATAATAGTAAAATAACACTGGCTCATTTAAAATAAGTAGATGGTACACAAGCTTCTCCATGTCTGTGTGAAACTGTGAAAGATGTACTGGCAAAATTTTGTGTGCATTTCGCACTTGGCAAGTCTTAATTTTGGACCCTGCTGAACAGACATTCACTTCCATACTCTCTCTTTAAATCAACCATATATAATATTAAAGCTCTCCAGTGCAGGTGACTTGCAGTCACATTATTGCACAAACTAGTACAGTAGCTATTATTTCACAAAGCTGGAGCTGACATGATCTCCTAAAATACATTTCAAAGGGTCGAGGAGTTTTGCTTATAGTCTCTGAGAATGACGGATGCGTACGTCACGCTCTGCGGCGTGCATAAGATGGACTCGGACATGGGGGAGTTGGGAAAGGGGCTGCCCGAGCCGAGTGAATCCCTAAACGGAGAAGGTGGCATGAGGGCCACAGAGTCCTCCATTGCCATTTTAATCTGCTCCAACTCCTCCTCGTCGTGGATCTGCGCATTGTCATACATGTAGCCGTGAAGAAGCCCCAACTGCTCGTTTTCAACCTCCTCCAAAGGGGAGGCGGGTTCGTCCGGGTATGCACCCAGTTGCATGGGCAAAATCCGATGCGGGTGCAATATTTGGGGCTGAAGGGGCGAAATCACCCCGTCACCCGGTTCGGGCAGGCTTATGATCTCATCCAGATTGGGCATGTTTGAATTGAACTTAAGCACCTCTTGATCTGCAATACAATGTTGAGGGAGAACACTGTTTTTTTGTGGCACGTGTTGCTCGGGAGTGTAAAACGTCATATCGGCTCCCGCCTTCTTTATAGGCTTGCTGACAGGCGACTGCCTGAGAGCCATCAGAGGAGGGCTGCCCGAGGGATTGTATCTGATCGGGTCGCCCTCATCCTCCTCGGCTACATTATACAGAGTCTTGGTGCTTAAATCAGAAAACTCCACGTCGGGGTTATTGTAGGTATTAGTTAGGGGTTTGATGACAGCCGTCTGATTGGATCCGGCTTCCTGCCTCTTCACATGTACAGACAGTCTGTGCCACATGTGTTCCCCTTTCGGAGGATGTCTTGAACCTGGTTCAGACCATGACACAGACTTTCCATTAGAACTATGAACAAAATAAAGACGACTGTTATTTCACAGGAACCGAGAAAGGTGAACACAAGAACAACATTTCTGGGTAGATCGGCACAAATGCCAACCAGATAATACAGGTGGTGTACATGGTGAAGGCGATGTACTTGGCCTCGTTGAAGTTGGCAGGGACGTTGCGAGTTTTAAACGCATAGTAGGTGCAGCTGAGAATGAGCAGGCCATTGTAGCCCAATGGCGCAACCATGCCCAAATTGCTGGTGTTGCATATTAGAAAAACTTCTTGAATACTGGGGTAGGACTTTATGGGCTCCGGAGGCTCCAAGATGATCAGTGTGACCTCCAAAGTCAGTTGCACACTGACCAGGATGGATGTGATCACCACTTGCGCCCAGGCACTCATGAATCGTGGTTTGCGTGTGCATATTTTCTTTTTGCTGCCGGCCAGAATTCGAGCGATGCGGTTGGTCTTGGTGACGAGAGCCGAGTAGCACATGGAGGCCGAAAGACCCACGAGGAGGCGCTGCAAGTAACACGAGGCTATGGTGGGACGAGCTATGAGAGTGAAGGGGCAAATGTAACCCAGGAAGATGCCAGCCAAGATGATGTAGCAAAGTTCACGACTGGAGGACTTGACGACTGGCGTGTCTCGGTACAGTATGAAGATGAAGGTGACGAAACTGGTCACTAGGATGCCCAGACATGAAAAAACGACAGCCACGATGGATTCAGGATGACTCCACTCCAGGTAGCGCAGGGGAAGGGGCTCACAGACTGAGTAGACAAGACAAAATGATTAGATCATATGTGAGACTATGAACAATGCATTCAATAATTAATTGTAGTGTTTGCTAAGGCAAGCATCCCTATTATTCTTGCTTATATTGTGCTATTAATGGTGTGCAAATAATTTTCTAAGCATCAGACTTTTTATCTGGTAGACAAACCCAAAATTGCAGATCAGAATATCAAAGGGACTCTTTGACTTGGGCCAGTAAGCAACCACCTACAGCAGCAATGCCCTAGCAACTACACAGAGCACCCTAGAAATGGCAAAGCAATGCACCAAAACCCATTCAGAATATTCTTAGCAACTGCGTAGCAACTCCCTTGCAACGACTTGGGGACGTTTTAGTTTATTAAGTAACAATAAGTATCCACTTTGAACATCAATAAGTAACCACCTAGCAATGCCCTACCAACTACTTTAAACACAGTAGAAACTGCACAGAAATACACCAAAATCCACTCAGAGCAACTGCATAGCAAAGTCCTCGCAATGACTCAAAAAAGTCTTCTTTTTTTTTTAAACAAGTGACAATAAGTAACCTCTTTGAACACCCTATCAACTGCACAGCAACAAACTCAGAATACTTAAAGCAACTGCATAGCAACACCCTGGAAACAACCCACAAACTTGGCCCAGTAAGTAACGACCCAGCAACACCCTAACCACATAGTAATGCACAAATACTTAAAATACATAGTAATGCACTTAAAATACTTTAAAAACCACATAGCAACAATTTGGGAACAACCCACAAAATTTTAGGAGGAGCTCTGTTGATTTGGACCATTAAGTAACCAACATCCAAGCAGGTATTTATAAACTCATAGTAATACCCTGGCTACATTTTTTTTATTACATGGAACATTAAAGATGGGGTAAGCGATTTTTCAAAAACGCTTTAGAAAACTGATTCGGGCCGAATAGCAAAACAAACTTGTAGCCAATCAGCAGTAAGGGGCGTGTCTACTCGTGATGTGGAGGAGAGAGAGTTCAGTGCACAGGACGGACATTAGCCGAGCCGAGCGACAGAAAGATAGAGATGGCGGATAAAAAACAGAGGAAAACGTCTGCAGAACAAACGAAGGCTTAAGGCAAGAATTAGGACTCGTGTAAATATCGAATCAGCTTTCCAGCGCTGGAGAGAACTCAAGGTCCGGTGTAGACACGGTGTAACATTGGTTTTGCTTTGTTTCACAGAACTAATCGTTGCCTGGGTTGCGTATGTATGTGTGGCGCAGAGCTATCAAAATAGACCCTTTTGGGGTAGGGGCGTGTTTGTTTTGATTTCAAATGATTTCAAATTTAATTTCAAATGTCAACATTGGCTACCAGAAATCGCTTACCCCACCTTTAAGTAACCACTTTTAACACCCTAGCAACCACAGAGCAACACACCAAAAGCCACACAGAGCAATAAGAAGAAACGCATAGCAACAGCCCACAAAACTTGGGGATGTTATTATTTTATTTTTATTTTTTAACTTGGACCGGTAAGTAACCACCTAGCAACAACCTAGCAACCACATAGCAATGTACAAAAACACTCAAAATACTTTACCAACTTCCAACATCTTGGCAACCAGCCACAATCATTTGGGATAAGTTCTATTTATGTTTTTTACTAGAAAGCAGCCACCAAGCAACTACTTAGCAACTGCATAATGCCCGGTTCAGACTACACGATTTTAGCCCGATTTTGTCACGATTTGCTTGACGTAGGGTGTTGGGGCGTCGGGACGCAAGATTCCATCGTTTCAGCTCGTGTAGTGTGTCATAGTGGACGACAACCGATTCCGCGTCTGCGATGCTTCACAACATCACGACAGAAAGACTAGCATGTTTAATTTTTTTTCCATCGTCCACGACGAGTTCTGTCACATTGGTGACGTTGACCAAAAGCAGCACAGAAGCTCTTTCATACACAGGTTTCAAACATGACAAAACGAAAGAGAGATGATGGTGCTGCTAGGTGGAATTATGAGATGGAGGAAAGGTTCGTGGAGCTGTGGCAACAGTATTCCTGCCTGTATGTGTCATCGAGGGACTACCACGACAGAACAAAGAAAGAAAAATGCTGGCGAACTATAGCGGAAGCGCTTCAGCAATGTTTACACTCTTGTTTTCGGAAGTCAGTCGCTAGTTCCGCCTTCTCGATGACATCACGCGCATCGTTAAAGATGTAATCTGACACAGTGACTATCGTGACCGACAAAAATATTGTGTAGTCTGAACCCAGCAAAACCCACTCGTAGCAACTGCATAGTAATGCCCTGGCAACGACTTGTCTATTTTTATTTATCTTGTTTTACACACATGGGACAGTAAGTAACCATTGTGAATTCTGAACACCCTTGCAATCACATACCAACACACAAAAATACTTAGAACACTTCAGCAACCACAAACAATGTCTTGGCAACTGGCCATCAATTTTCGGGTGTGGGTTCTCTTGATTTGGGTCAGTAGGAAACCACCTAGCAACTGCACAACACACTAAAACTCCTTTGAACACCTTATTAAGCCCTGGAAACCACTCTCACAATTTGTGTTTTGGTTCTCTAGCCATCTAGCAACAGTCCAGAAATATTCAAAACACACCTGCATAGATTTGTCCAATCTTACTGTGGACTCTGTCAGGTGTTGTGTAAAGGGATGGAGCGAGGACTCAGTGGTGCTGGAGATGTGCTTTTATTAATAAAATACAACAACAACAACAACAACAACAACAACAACCCCGTGGGGGGAAAACACAGCTGGCAACAAGACAAGGCTTGGCTTGACAGGACACAAGGCACACACTCAACATTCGACGATGAACTGGCATGGGACTGCAAACACAAGGAGAATAAATAGGGAGCAAATGAGGAGGGTAATGAGGGAAACACAGGTGGGGCAAATTAACCAATAATCAGGTAACAAGATGTGTAGGTTCAAGACAATTGACATGAGAGCACATGGCACACAGAAAACAAGGACAAAAGCCATGTGCTCACACGAACCTTTTCGAACTTTATGAATGATTATTTTAGGTTCAAGTGTGTGCAAGGAACTGGAAGCAAGTAGAGTATGGCTGTTTCTGAAGCATGCAGCGCTATCTGCTGTTCAAAGCTAAGCTCAGAATCCATTCAACAGAGAATCACGATGCATTCGGAAAATCTAAGAATCGATGCAGAATCATTTCTCGATTTGCGATGCATCGATTTATTGTCCCAGCCCTATTAAGCATATAATGATATTCTAGGGAATTGTGTGCTTCTAATTTTATAGCAAGAGTTTGGACAGGACCCTTTTCTATTCTAACATGACAATGCCAAACAAACTTGACTATGCCATGACAAACTTGACTGGTCTGCAGAAAGCAAAGTCCTAATCCCAGCTGAACACCTCTGGTGTGACTTTAAGTGCAGACCTTGAGCCAAAAACTCATCACCAAACACCAATGACTTGTAAATAGGGGTGCAGTCATTTTAGACACTTCCAAAACTTTTGCAACAGAGATGGAAATACAATTTTTTTCCATCTTTGTTGCCAGTTTTGGAAGTGCCTTTTTCTGTTCTAAAGAAGGGGTGTCCCAATTCTTTTGTCCATATAGTGTATGTACAAGTCACTCGGTGATGAGTTTTTGGCTCAAGGTCTGCATTTAAATTCACACCAGAGGTGTTCAGCTGGGATTAGGACTTTGCTTTCTGCAGACCAGTCAATTTCTTTCAGACTGACTGAATCAATCATTTCTTTTTGAACCTTGCCTTATACACAGAGGCATTGTCAAGTTAGAATAGAAAAGGGTCCTATCCAAACTGTTGCTATAAAATTAGAAGCACACAATTTCCTAGAATATCATTATATGTTTAACATTAGGATTTGTACTCATGGAAATTACTAAAGTAGTCAAACCTGTTCATTAGGGGGTGTCCGAATACTTTTGGCAATATAGTGTATGTCTATAGTCATAGGGTGTGAGACATTATGAATTAATGCTTCCACCAATAAACAAACACTCTAAGAGGTCAACAGGAGGTTGAGATCAAAGCATGCATTGTTGAATATGCATTAAAAATGGTAAAAGCATACACTTCGCATTGCTTCGTGTCTTTGTAGGACTGGCCATCTGTGTGACCAGCTCGCTTATGCACCAAGTACTAAAGTAGGTTTCCAGCTCACCTAAAAATAAACAGCCCTTCCACTAAGGGACCGGCCGTAAGAAAGAACCATGCCAAAGGAGACTTGAGAGACTGCAGCAGGAGAGAGGAAACCAATGCTTCCTCATTACCAACACCAGTATTCATGAGAGCCAGACACTTTTACCAATGATAAAACTCAAGGAGAGCTTAAGGACAATAATTAGTATCTAGAAATACATGAATCACAAATGAAATTTGTATTTGTCCCATGCACATGGGTTATTCTTGAGCTACAATGAATCTGTGCATTACGGCAGTAGCATAGAATGGAGCTATACTATAGTGAACTGATGAAAAATACATTGCTAGGACACTCTAGGCTGCTGCATTGACATTGACCATCATAGTGTATGAAAATAGGCCAGAGAAGTAGGTAGTGAAGTAGGGCTGTCACAGGCGATAAGTTGTACAGCGCAAGCAATCTGTAAAAATGATAAATGGCCTTCAGGTGTCATGGGAAACCTTTTGAAAATAGGACAGTGAAGGTCTTTTAAAAAGCTAAATCAGTAATGTAAGACTTGGAGAATGGGATTCTGCATGGATGTTTGATGACGCATCTATGATGCTTTGATTCAGACACATACTTTTTCCTTTGACTTCAAAACTCAAAAACAATTAAAGTGATTTAAACTATGTAGGAAAATCATTAACAACCTTTTAACATTTTCTGAAGAAAACAAATTGTGCTTGTCTGTGCAAAAATCACCACTGTAATTCTATCGTCATTTAAAAATAATAAGTCTGATGGCTTAGAAAAAATCGGCTGTAGCTGTCGGGCGAGATGGCGGATAGCAGCGGCAGCACATAATATCCGCATTCTGATTGGTCAGATCACTTGTCAATCAAGGTCTTTGTGACCGGTCAGTTTAAGGTGTCATTCTTGTCTGGCATAAATGGTGACACTGGATTGTTAAAGCTTGTAGACCAAGTTATATCTTTGAATATTTAGCTTTACAAAAACATTTCAAATTTAAAAATGTTAATTATGCCACATACTTTCCCTTCAGTATGCCACA